GTCTGCATGCATTTAGGGATCAAGTGTGTATAAGAAAGTTGCAAGGGTTGCATAGTATGAGGATTCATGCAGTCGGGGCACCAGTGAAAGTAACTCGTTAGAGCAGATGTCATGGAAATATTTATAGAAAAGATAGAGTGAAGCCACATTAAGAGAAAGTGACTGGAGTCGAGATGCCAGATCAGGACCAATCACATTGCATATCCGTCTTTGGATTTTGTCGATAACCACGAGATGAACAGTGGAAGCATCAGACCATATATGACAACAGTCTTCAATGATAGGGTGAATGGTAGATTTGTAGATGTGAAGGATGGACTCAGGCGGGGAAAACGCGACCGATTAGTGAGAAAATGGTTGATGGGTGGAAAATAAATCATCACCCACAAAGCTGTTTTGAGGAAAAGGATGAAGAGAAAGACGCGTATCAGGACCAAGGCATCAGAAGATTTCGATTTCCATTAAAATTTGAATATTTGAAGATTATAGAAATCAGAGAAGCAAGTAAGAGGAAGAGAGTTTCACTGTCGGGAAGTGCGGTCGAGTTTGGAAAGGGAAGATAGAACTGCTCCGCCTGAGATGTGGCAACAATCCCCCATTTTTGGTCCGATCTCGCTCTTATAAAGATAATGACAGAAGGATACATTTTACAACATCTTTAGCGGTGGATCGTACATAAGAGTTCTACTTGATGTCATGTGTGTGCTTCCATTTCACCAGAACATGGCTTCTCAACCTGGGCGATATCACCCACCCGTGGACGTTTTCAACTGTTGGGTGGGCGATGAGAAACTGAACTGAAAATGGTGTAGGATTGGGAATATTGGTGTGTGATATAGGATTTTGAGTATTAAAATATATATGTCAACATACGCTACTCGTAAAAAAATGCAAAGATTTTAAAAAATAGGGGGGAGACTAAATGAGAATAACTGGTTCACATTTCTAGATAAGATCTAAATTTCCCTGGAAACAACGAATTTTTTAGTATTTTCTATAATTTTAAGAAGTGTCATTGGCATTCAAATAGTTCTTCAGACGAAATAACATTTTATTTTCGGATCTAAATCAGATAAGGGAGGGCCAAGAAGAACAAAAATTATTCGCTGAGATTTTATTAGTTGCTTAGTATAACCACAAAACTAACCTTGACAATAAAACTAAATTATATATATATATATATATATATATATATATAAATTTCAATGGTCAATTTTGCATTCGTTTGTTTATTAATATGATAGTAGTAGCAGTCATTGGTATATATTACCTCCCTTTAGTATTTTAACATCATAAAGTCAGTTTGTGAACCAGTAACAAACATTTACCAAAGGATTTTGGTAAGTATTTTATAATAATCTAGTAGCCCGCTTAAATCCATGTATTTAGGGCACCAGGGAAAGAAGGTCAACAGAACAACTGGCATGAAAATATTTGTAGGATAGACAGAAAGAAGCCACATGACGTCGGGGAGAATGGTGCTGAAGCCGAGAAACCTGGTCAGGTTAGATTATATTACAGATCCGTCATTGGATTTGTCAAGAATCTCGAGATGTACAGCAGGAGCAACAGACCAGATATGGCAACAGTATTCGATGCACGGACGAATGGAAGATGTATACAGAAACAAACAAAATAATAAGATGGATTCTTGGTCAGAAAGCGTAACTGAATCTTTGTTTTAAAACAGGGTTTGGTAACCTGGGTGATATCACCCGTCGTTGGGTGATTTCAACTGTTGGGTGGACGATGAGCAAATGAACAGAAAATGGTTGACAATTGGAAATCTTAGTGGGAAATATAGGATTTTCAATATTAAAAATGTCTTTCAACATATGCTACATTCCAAAAAATATTCAAAGTAAATATACAATAAAACTGTACAAAAACAAACAAAAACTAAACATGAGACTGCAAGGGAATAACTGGGTTACATTTCGAGATAAGATCTAAATTTCCCGGGAAACAACGAATATTTGGGCATTTTCTATAGCTTTAAGAAAGGTCATTGACATTCAAATAGTTCTTCAGATGAAATAACATTTTATTTTCGGATCTAAATCAGATAAGGGAAGACCAAGAAGAACAGAAAATATTCGCTGAGTTTTTATTAGTTGTTTGTACTTATTCTTAACATAAGGAAGAGGCAGATGAAATTTCTGGAACATGTAATGAGAAAAGAGGGCTTGGAGAATCTGATACTCACAGGTCGAATAGAGGGAAAAAGAGACAAGGGAAAGCAAAAGCGTGAAATACCTGGCGGAGATATGATTCTACAGAAGGATACTAGGGATACCATGGACCGAACATGTGAGCAACGATGAGGTTTTGGAGAGGATGCAAACAAGAAGGAAGCTTATACTCAACATCAGGAAGAAGCAGATGAAATTTCCGAGACACTTAATGAGAAAGGAGGGCTCGGAGAATCTGATACTCACAGGTCGATTAGAAGGAAAAAGAGACAAGGGAAGGCAAAGCATGACATACCTGGCAGAGATATGATTCTACAGAAGGATGATAAGGATACCATGGACCGAACATGTGAGCAACGATGAGGTTTTGGAGAGGATGAAAACAAGGAAGAAGCTTATACTTAACATCAGAAAGAGGCAGATGAAATTTCTGAGACACTTAATGAGAAAGGAGGGCTTGGAGAATCTGATACTTACAGGTCAAATAGAGGGGAAAAGAGATAAGGGAAAGCAATGCATGACATACTTGGCGGGCTTAAGCAATTGGATGGCAGAACGTGGTCTGCTGGAGTTAGCAGAGTCAAAAGAGATAGGGGGAAGTGGAAAGACATGATGACCTACGTCCTGAAAGGACACGGTACATAAAGACAAAGAAGAACAAAAAATAATAGTTTTTTATTAGTTGCTTATAGTGTATATTCTTTCTTTTTAATTTTATAATTATGAAAAATATCATTTAATTTTTTATCACCACTTGCAGTGCTAACTCTAACCATAAAACTAATCTTGACCATGAAAATAAATTATAAATATAGTTTTCAATGGTCAAGGTTGTTTTCGTTTATTCTTCAATACGGTAGCAGCAGCAGGCTCCGCGTAAGTCAACGTTATTTGTTATCTCCCTTTGATATATTTTACTGTATCATAAAGTCAGTGGATGAGCCAAACTCTCACCAAGCAAATTTGGTATACTTTTAAATATTTACTATATGGGTGGGCAGAGGAAAATCTTCTCATGTAAAAGTGGGCGATGACGCAAAAAATGTTGGGAATACCTCTAGCAGACAACGGTTCATCCTGACTCAGGATCGGCTGGGTGATGATAAAACATTACTAGCTTGGTTTTGGAGGTGTTACTTGGCTGTGTAAACAAAGTCAAAGGAGAGGTCAGATGCCATGTTCTGGCCATCTAGCGCCTATAAACCGTGATATAGTTTACATATATATCGAGGTTGGTCAAAAAGTCCGTTCGCTTTTTATCTAGAAAATTTATTTTAAAAACCGAACGAACTTCTTTTTCAATCATTTCACCCCAAGGAAGGCGATAACGCCACTAATAAGCAGGGTGTTACAGGGACTTTGAGTGAAAATACTGAATATAGGGAGGATTGAGGAAAGAACAAAAGATGAACAGGATTCAAGAAGATAGAAGATGGCGATTAATTTTGCACTTACAATTTTGAAGATTGTAGTTATCATGGAAGCGAGTAAACAAAAGGGTGTTCTACAGGCGGAAAGTGCGAGAAAAGAAACTGCTGGAGTAGAAGTGGCGATTTCATTTAGCTATTTCAATAGTAAAAGAGTGGGACCTAAATGCCAATCTAGTAGCACGCTTAAATTCATGTAATCAGGGCACCAGGGTAAAAGTTCATCAGAGAAGATGCCATGAAAATAGTTAGAGAATAGACAGAGGGAAACAACGTCAGGTCGTTGAGAAAGTGAGTGATGTTGAGATGCCAAGTCAAGATCGATTACATTGCAGATCCTTCTTTGGATTTTGTCAAGAACTTCGAGATGAATAGCAGGAGAATCAGACCAAATATGGCAGCACTATTGAATGGACAGATGTTTTAACCAACACTTGAGAATTTCTTATGCAGTTAATATATTTAAAAACTGGGCAGTACTGAGGAGAGGGTCTTTGAAGGGAGCCTTCATTGATCTCATTGACATCAGGGGAACAGTCATTAACAGCGTTCTTCACTTCGTCAATTTATCTATGTATATATACTAAATAAATTCAAAGTTTTGGCGGAGACGTTAGAAATATAGATTTGAAGAAAACCTATCAAAAGTAAACAAGAGATAAACCTCGACTCCTTTTCAAATGGCCGGGGAGGAGTGTGAGCAGGACGATAGGCAAACCTATCTACTTCTAGTGTTTTCGTAGTATTTCTTTAGAGGAATATATCTTACTAGCATATCCAGCTTGTCGATCAGAAAAAAACGTTCAATTAGAATGGAGCAAAAACAGCATCATGATTAGATGTAAAAGAGTCTATCTTCAATTAATTTAAATTACTTTCATTAAACAACATTTTGAATTAATGTAGTTACTGATATAACAGGGCTGTCTTTATTCAATCGAAGTCAGCCGAGGACATGAAGGGGTAAAACAGGCAACATGAAAACCCACTTCAGACCACAATTATTTTGGAATTTTTGAAATTCAATTTTTCAGTGTGCTACTAGAGATGTAAAAGAAGATACATTTATAAAGCAATTTTTAAGTTTGATGAAAATTGCTTGAAAGATCAACGAAAAATAAGAAAGAAACCCGTAAAACAATTTTTCGCCATACACGCGTGTTTTCACTACATGGTTGGGCACAGTTATCAAGTTAAATGACTCAAAGGTCGAATAGAAGGAAAAAGAGACAAGGGAAAGCAAAGCATGACATGCCTGGCGGAAATATGATTCTACAGAAGGATGCTAAGGATACCATGGACCCAGCAACGATGAGGTTTTGGAGAGGATGCAAACAAGGAGGAAGCTTATACTTAACATCAGGAAGAGGCAGCTGAAAAT